CGAGCGGGAGAGGATGGCATCGGCTTTGGGGCCGGACATGTAGCTGTGCAGGAAGGTCGCCGTGGAGGTGGGGGGGAGGGAGAGGTAAAGGGGTCAGCGGGGCACAGGTTTGGAAGGACGGGAGCGAGAGGGGGGGTGCTCACTTGGCCGCGAGGTAGGCTTTGAGGTCGCCCATTCTGCTCAAACAGTCGCGGGCGGGAGGGGCTTTTAATGGACGCTGGGGTTGGAGAGAGTGCGGGGGACGTCGCTGGACGCAGCGGGGGCGACTATGCAGAGTTGTTGTATGCATAGATGCAAAGTATAGACACTCGAGACGCGAAGGCCGCCCGCTGTACGAGATGCCACCCAATTCCGCGGTGGCAAAATGCCGGCAAAAAGACCGCCACCTTTCCTCGCCGCCCCTTGAAGCTTGAAGCCGCTCCCTTCCTTGTTCTTCGTTCTTCAACCATTATCGCCTATACCCATTCCCCCTCTCCCCCACCCCCCAGCTCCCCCCTGCCCCACCCCCACCCACCAAGCAAGCACACCGACATACCGCCCCACTGCATACCCCCCTTCCCGCCGCCCCACACGTCAACCCCCGCCAGCGCAAACCCCCCGCGATCAGCATGGCCCCGCCCTTACACCCTTTACCCGCGAACCCGACAACAGGCCAGCAGCCGCTCGCGAGTCTCGGTGGCCGCGGCGCAGCTGCCGGGGCCGGCGCTATAGGGTCTGGCGCAGGCAGCGGCGGGGTCAGCCGCGAGACGTTGAAGGGGCTGCAGGATGTTTATTGGAGTGAAGACGAGGTGCGTATAGGATGCTGTAAGGTGGTGAAAAATGTGGGAGACGCGTTGGGGTTGGTGGGGAGCGTGTTTATCGGGCGGGCAAGGCCTCGGGGAGGGGCTGTAGGAGAGCGGGGGTGTGTGGGATGTGACTTGGAGGCCGGGGGAGAGCCGTGTGGTGGCTGATGCTGACTCAACCTCTAGGACGACCCGGATTGTCTTCTCTGCGCCGAGCCCCTCGACCTGTCCGACTTGAACTTCAAGCCGTGCCAGTGCGGTCTCCAGATCTGCCAGTTCTGCTACAACAAGCTGCTCTCGACCGACGCGCGATGTCCCGGGTGCAGGCGGCCGTACGATTCAAAGGCGGTCGTGTTCCAGCCGGTCGATTGGGAAGAGTGCGTTTTATTGTTCGCGCGCGTTGGTTGATATCAGGACTGACCACGGAACCGCAGAGTCAAGAAGGCAAAGGAGAGAAAGACGAAGCGGGCAAAGGTGATAAAGCAGCTGACGGCGGTCGGCCGTCGGCACCTCCTTGGCGTCCGGATCGTCATGAAGAACATGGCCTACGTCGTAGGCATGAAGCTCCCAGCACCAGGCGATGAGGTGCGTCCCACCCCTCCCCGCTCTACCCAACACCGGCTGATCCCCCGCAGGCGATCCCCATCCTCCGATCGAACGAGTACTTTGGTCAGTACGGCAAGATCTCCAAGCTGTACCTCGGCGACCGTACCAAAGTCTCCTCCTCCTCTGTCCCTGCCATCAACTCGGCCGAATTGTCCACCTCGACAGGCATCTACATTGTCTACATCCGGCGGGAGGACGCGTCGCGGTGCATCTCGTCGCTGGATGGGATCCCCGCGCCTCACGGCCCGCCCGGGACGCTGCTTAAGGCGACATACGGGACGACGAGGTACTGCGAGGCGTTTTTGAGGGGGACAAAGTGTGATAACTCGAGTTGCCATAATCTGCACGAGTGGGGAGGGGATAGTGATTGCTTCACGAAGGAGGATTTCGAGACGGCGTAAGTCGTGCCGCGTGCGCGAGTGGAGGCAGCGCTGACGACCAGGGCAGGATGACCAAGCCGGCAGAGTACGATGCGAGGTTGAAGCAGACGCAGACGCCGGTCGTTACGCTGCCTGCGTTGACGAGCAAGGTCGCATGGCCAAAGCCCTCGGCAGAGGACACCAACGGTGGTGGTGAGTGTATCGCTTTATGAAAAGGATCTTACTAACTCGACACAGCGGCATCCCCATCAACTGGCCTGCCCAACGCTGCAAGCTGGGGCAAGGGCATCGCCGTCAAAGCCGGCCGGACTACCCCTTCCCGCCCCGCCAAGATCGGCGCCAGCCTCTTCCCGCTCAGCAAGAACAACGCGGCCTTCCCCCTCCCTACCCCTTCGCCTACTATCCCGATAACCATCAAGGAGAAGAAGGAGAAGAAGAGCAGTGCGATGGCAAGAGGAAGGAGCAATGATTCGGCGCAGAGCACGGCGACGAGGAGTAACGAGACGTCGCCGAAGAGGAAGGGTGTGCCGCCGTTGACGAGCGTCAAGGCGGTGGCGGCCGCTACGGCTACGGCGTCGTCGTCAGCTGCGTCGACGCCGGCACCAGAGCCGCCTACACCTGTTCCTGCGGCTGCGCCCGCACCTGCACCTCCTGCCGAGCCCACACCTGCACCAGCCCCCGCCCCTCCCCCCGCATCCGCCCCCGCCCCCGCCCCCGCCCCCCCTGTCGCCGAAGAGCCCGTTGACGAGCAAGCCTCCGCTGACTCTGACGCCGGCCCTTCCTCCGACTCCCCCGCTCCCCAGACCCCCGCCCGCATCGCCCAAGACATCCCCCCGGCACCTCTCTCCTCCGAACCCATCTTTATCCACTCGCCCTACCCCGAACCCATCATATTCACCTTCCCTGCGCACGACAAGGACTTCGCGTTCTCGCTCGGGCTGGATGAGGGCGAGCTGCAGAGGATACAGGCTCAGGCGGAGGGGTACGAGCCTAGTCCGTTTAGCAAGACGCTCGAGGGACTGGCTGAGCTGGGTGTGCATGCGCCAGAGGTGCCAGATCTGTTTGACGCGCCGATTTCGCCCCGCGCGGACTCTGCGCAGTACTCGGGCCTCTTCCGTCCGTTCGAGGCGGACGAGCACTCCCCCGCACTGTCGGACAACACCCCCGGACCGTCAAGCGAGCGGGAGGAAGAGGACGACGACCATAACGCCCAACGCACGGAATCGCGGTTCGGCTTCGCGCGGACCTCATCGGGGCTGCGCGGGCAGAGCCCCTTCGGCAGCGTTCGGCGTCAGGCGGAGCAGGGGCCAAGCCTCCGGGAGAGGGAAGGGTGGTGGCGGAGCGAGGAGCAGCAGCAGGCTCAGGCCCAGCAGCAGCATGAGACCAACGTCGCAAACTTGGCGGCGCAGGTGGCCAACTTTGTGGGCAGCTTTGGGTCTTCTGCGTCTGGTGCGGGAGCGGGAGGGGCGGGGGAGAGCGGGTGGAATGGGGAGGGGTATGCGCCGTCGCCTTCGAGACATCAGCAGCAGCAGCAGCAGCAGCAGCAGCAGCAGCAGCAGCAGATGGTGTATGATTCGCGAGGGAGCGGGAGGATGGAGCATGGGGTGCAGGGGCAGTACTTGCAGAAGGGTATGCGTGAGCGGGACGAGTACGACGGTTGTGAGTCGCCTCTTCCCTCTTCTTCCCATGATACCCAGCTGACACACTCCTTTAGCCGGCCTCATCTACGGCCAAGCCCAGATCTACGGCTCCCAGCCCCAACCCCAGCAGCAGCAGCAGCAACGCGCCATGTTCTCCCCCGACTCTGCCACCCACTCCATCCACGAGGACTACCAGCCTTCGCCCATGGCTTTCAGCCAGCTCCAGCAGGCTCAGGCCCAGCAGCAGCAGCAGCAGACGCCGCTGCAGCACCACCCGGACGCGAGGCAGTTGATGCAGATGCACCAGAGGAGAGGGCAGTCCCCGGGGCCTATGGCCGCGCATGGTGAGTCCTTCCTTCCCTTCCAAGCTCGAGTGTCCGCTGACGTGACGGGCGAATCCAGGCTACCGACGATTCTGAACTTCGCATCTATTCTCCTTCCCTGACCCCATCTTCTCTATCGTAGCTAGCTCTACCACAGCCCCCCCTCTAGTATATACCCCCTTTTAGATACCTGGACGTCGAAGACTCCAACTACCCTTCTAATGCAACATGGCACATGGTCCCTTGCTTATGAGGTCTCCGCCGGGCTGTGTCACCTTGAATCACGTGCTCCAGTCCCCATCGCATGCCTATATCTCCAAGGGAATCCATATACATACGTCCGTTTGACACGCTTGTCGGATCGGCCTTCCATCCATCTCACACCACTACCAGACCTCTGTGCCCCAACCCCTCTCTCCGCCCATTACACTTGCCATCCACGTCGCTTTCTACACCTACGTTGCTGCCCGCCGCTTATTCCACGGCCAACATCTCCCCACACATCGTCGACATGAGGTCGACCACCAACAAGATCATCGCCCCGTTCACCGGCTGGTGGCATACCGCCGCCATCCACGTCGGTCCCGACCTTGACGTCGGCCAATCAGCCACCTTCTGAAAACGCACTCCAAGAACGCGCTCGTCGGTCGCCTCAAGGACCTCCCGTCCAGCTCCTACATCAATTTTGACGCGATGGGCCCGGGCGCTGATCGTCACTATCATCCGCCAAAGTGCCAAAGTCGCCCCGTCCACGTGGAAAGTGACAGCGTCCGGACCATCGCGCTAAAGTTGACATAGGACCTCGACGGGAGGCCCTTGAGTCGACTGAGCAGCTCGACTCGTTCTGAGGGTGATTCTTGATAATGTGGCTGATCAGGCTGACGTCGAGGTGGGGACCGCCATGGATGGCGACGGTGTCGTATCCCGGGAAGGGGGCTACGGTCCTGTTGGTGGTAGACTCCAAGTCGATGACGCGTGGGAAGAGGTAGGATGTGGAGCGAGTTGCCCTCCGTCTCTCAACGCGGACCCGTCCACGAAGACAAAGGTGGCGAGGTCTGCACTGACGACGATGCGAAAGTGGAGAGTTTCGACGAGGGCAGTGCGGGACAAGAGGCTAAAGATGGAAGTCAGACGGGGCGATCGTGAAGTCCTTTTATAGGCTGAAGGGGCGATTCGACCCGGGTAGATTGATGCCGGAGCGGTCGCTGAGACCCGGGCCGGCCGTCCCAAAGCAAAACGATGAGGTGCAACAAAAATGCAAAAAGGTATAGGTCTCACTGGGAATTGAACCCAGGTCTACAGAACAACTTTGAGTAGTCAGAATCTGTTGTACTAACCATTATACGATGAAACCATTACATGACAGGGCTCAAAATTAAAAACCCTAACCCTGTGTAGCAACAATGAGGTTACGTAAATGGAGATCTCGCCCCCCGGGAATATTTCCCACTCCTATTTTCCCCGACTTAATCCGCCAGGGGCCCACTCTGCGAATCAGCTCCTGTCCTTTCCGATGCTTTTGGCGCAGACCAATAACCCGTCTCCGTCTCCTCCGTTTGCTTCTCCCCCTTTCCCTCCAATCTCCTCCAACTCACCACTCAGTCCCCCCCTCCTCCCCCCTCAGCAAAATGCTCGGCTCTGTGTCCCGCACTCTCCTCAGGGCCCGCCCTGTCATGGCGGCGCCGCTCGCGCGCCCGCTTGGGTTTACTGGTGAGTGGAACCGGGGGGCCGCGGAGCGGCTCGTTCGCGGACAAGCGAGGCGGGCGATGGGGCGTTGGCTCCACGTCCGCCTTCGTCGACCTCATCTGAAAGACCCATGCTTACTATTCTTCTTTTTCACCCCGCCCCACAGCCGTCCGCTACTCCTCCGGCCAGCACGGCGAGGAGACCGAAACCTACGAAGCCTTCAACGCGCGCTACGCGACCTTCTTCTCCCAAGTGAAGGACACCTTTGAGCTCGAGCGGGGGCTCAACAACTCGTTCGCGTACGACCTCGTGCCGAGCACCGAGGTGATTGAGCAGGCGCTCCGGGCTGCCAGGCGGGTCAACAGCTACGAGGGGGCGGTGAGGATCTTGTCGGGCGTGAAGATCAAGGTGGAGAACGAGGGGCAGTACAAGGCGTATCTGACGGAGTTGAAGCCTATTATTGAGGAGCTTGGTGAGTTGGGACGGATGAGACGTTGGGGTCACGGTTCCGCGGGCGCTGACGGTTGAGACATAGGCATCACCACCGAGGAGGAACTCTACAAACAGTAGTACTAAGCAAACATTCATTCTCAGAGGGGTTGTGCGGGGATGCAAACAACTAAGCATTGTGGCGGATCATTCGAGCAGCGGCATGGCATGAGGAGGCGGGCAGTAGTGTGGGGCGTGGACTACTGATGGGGCGTCGCGTTCAAGCTGGCGCAAAGGGTGATACTGACAGTCTATGGGCTATGCGCGAGTACATGGAATGAGTGATTCATCTCTTATCGCTACGTGCTATCCTCCTCGTATCAGTCATCCTTGGACCCATCCTTCTCTCTCTGACCGTTCGGCCAAGAGTCAGGTGTGAGGTGCAGGCGCTTAGTGGCCGCCGCCTGGAAGAAGGGGGCATCGTGTCAGCCCATCGCGCGCGTCTTGTCAGGATGGGGAAGGGTACTCACAGCACGCACCCTCCTTCTTCTCGCCGGTCTCGGCAGCGGTCTCCTCAGCGGGAGGGGCAGCGGGGGGGTCAGAGACCTCGGGGGCGGCGGTGGCGCCGGTCTCGGTGGCGGGGGTGGTCTCTGTGAGGAGGGTTGGGTGTCAGCCTCGGCGTGCTGTGGTGGTGCTGACGGCAGTAGGGACGGGTGGGGTGGTGGCTGACTCACGGATGGTCTGCTCGGCGGACATGGTGCTTGGTGGTTGGCTGGCTGGTGTTGGTTGGGTTGGTTGAGTTTGTATGTGAGAGTGCGAAATGAAAAGCTTGGTGGGGATTCTGCATCTTCCCTCCTAGACCCCCTGCTTATATACCCTTCCCCCCTTCCCCGCCTCGAGGCAGAATGATCTAGCATCCCCCCTGCCCCGTGACCTGGAATCACCTCCACCGAGACCCATCCTTTATGCGCAGATCGCGACTCGAGGGGGGGCGAGCGCGAGTCAGAGCTGACGTGGAGCGCGTGACAACGGAGGGCGCGAGGAGTCGACGATCTTTGTGTACTTCCGTTTGATGGCCGTCTCCACTGCCGCCGAACGGAAGACCCAAAGCGAAGCAGCTAGCAAGGATAAGGGCTGTGTCATTCATGCATACAGGCATCGAGTAGAGCCAATCTGCATGCGACGCGTAAGAGGATGAATGGACGACAAGGGGGAGGGAAGGATGGGCCTGTGAGTCATACTGGAGGATAATGGTGCGGCGGCTTGAGTGCAGTGGATTGTGGGGCCATGGCTGATTGTCGGGTGTTGTTTGCTGCGGAGGGAAGGAGGTTTGGTGAGGTCAGGCGCTGAAGGGGGGGGGGCTGCGTGTGGCAGGCGGGCGGCTTCGCATGTTGTGGCTTCTTCGGACTCCCGTCGTGTGGCCCTCAATTCCTTCACATCAATGCAACAGTGGCTTGGCTAGGTCAAGAGACGTAATAGGTTGATCATGCAGCTTCAAGAAGCACAGAGTGAGACAACATGAGACACCACCTGCATGACACTCTGTTAGCGAAAGAAGCATCAGAAAGCGGCCGCATCCCGTAAAGCCTTCCTGCGCCAGAAGATCAGCGCAGTAAACAAGTAGTCAGCGGTGTCGGGCGTGCTTCTCGAGATCGTTCGGAATGTACCTGCAGAGTCATGTGAGGGATCGGCAATGCATATGTCGGGTGCGGATGCAGAAAGGCGTGGTAACGGGGAGGAGCAATCTGTAAGATGGCGGCGCGTGTGTGCACACTCGCGGTGTGTGAGGCTGCAGAGTGGCAGCACGTTTTCTGGTCGTGGCACTCACGTGAAGTTCATCCCACTTATGAAGAGGGAACAAGTGCGCCAAAAGGGGTGAGTAAAGCCCGCGGCCGAGATGATGGTCTGACGAAGCGGGGATGAGAAGACAAGACAGCGCACGCGTGGGGACACTCACCCCCATGTCTGTCGTTCACCTGTCACCAGTCAGCCCTTACTCCTCAGTGCTCCGTCAGTAGCACTGTGCAGCCACTGTCTTCTCCTCTGCCAGAAGAGCTGGGACAGCTACCGGCGCTGCTGCTAGCACTGTCGAGCATAGATGGCGTCCTTGAAAGCCACCACTGCGTGTGATTATCACACGACGCCTTGTCCCTCCTCCCTATACTATGCAACAGCTTACGTTCCCTCATGCATACCCTCTTTCAACGCACAATGCACTGGCCCATGCATAGCCACAGACCCCCCATCTCACCGACCCAGCGTCTTCCCCGGAGTCTGGGCCATGTTGCCCAACACCCCGCTCTTCTTGCTCCCGCTCGCTCTTCTCGTCTTGTCATGGTCCGTGAAGACATCTGCTGCGACATCATCGCATGTCTCTTTCAATTGACACATATCGCACTATGTATGTACTCACCTGCCGGATCGACGCGCGATCCTGATGCCGATGGCCAGTAGAGTTCAATTTCTTCCACACGACGACCGCAAGCCCCGTCTTCCCAGCAGCCGAGTGCGACAGCCGACTACTACCTTCTCCAAGTGTCTAAAGGAGGTGCCGGACGTCTCGGGGGGGGGGCTGGAGAGATCCCCTCGGTGAGCTGGGGTGAAGAAGGATGTGACAGTAAGTGGGGGAAAGGACGCCGAGGTGCTACGTGGCATCTCGGAGAGGCGCTGTCCGAGGTGAGAGAGCGAGATGCGCGACGGGCGGGGGCGCAGAGTGGGGGAGGTGAGAGAGTGGGGAAGGAGGGAGGAGGCTGGAACGTGGTCTGTACGCAGAGTGACCATGCATACTTTGGGCGCTGGGCCGGAGGTGACAAGCTTGGCACTGATACGTAAGCGAGAGGGGTGTTGTGTTTTGATGGGCTGATGGATGTGCTGATGCACTGATGGATGGCTCGGGCGCACGTCCGGTGGCGTATTTACGGTTCAGTACTGGAAAGCTCCGCTGTCAGCAACAGTGGCAGACAGCCCTGGGTGGTCGTCAGCGAAGAGGCGTATCGAGGCTGGGTGAGGACAAGGCAACTCTCCTATCAGCCAGGGTAGTATCATCATAGCTCCGCGACGACGAATATCTTTGCCACGACAGCCCGGTCAGTAATACGAGCTCATTCATAGACTCCAGATCAATATGTCCCAGAGCTACAGCCCCAAGCTTCGAACTGAAACGGCAATGACACATAATATACGAGACACACGGGTGGGGGAAGCCGCCGGGCGAGGTTCGAGGTTGGCACACGCCACACGCATTGTCTCTGGTGATGCCCCGGCTCGCCTGTCAGTCATCACCATCACCACCCACCATCACCGCCCACCATCACCATCAGTATCACCACCGTCACAGTCATCAGTCACCATCAGCATCACCGGCCGGGACCATCGTACGGACGACTCACCTCCGACGATGCCTTTCCGTCCCCGCCGCCGAGGTCACGCCCCGGCCAGCAAACAGCGACAGCGAACTGAGACCGGCTGGGTGGGAGGGATGTCGCGGGGATAGAGAGGATCTCGTACGGCTGTCGGCAGTGCGGCAGTGGGGGGTAGTGAGTGGGTGTGCGGGTGGAGAGCGGGGGACAGTCCGTCCTGCCTGCCAGTTTGTCTGTTCTCGGTGGCTATGGTATCAACCGTGAGAAGGAGTTTCCCATCGCCCATCTCCCATCGCGGTCCAGCTCGCCTGGGTCTGGGTGGGGGAGAGGGGCGCCGGGCGTATACAAAAGCCCAGTGACCCCCGCCCCGCCCCGCCCGGACAAGCAACCCACCACCCTCACCCGTCTCACCCTCCCCCCCCTTGCTCCGCTCTCGCGCTCGCCCTCACTCGCTCGCTACCCCACCTACGTCCTTTCGTGAGTACTCTCGGCACCTATAGCGAAACTGGGCCGCGAACGATCGTCGCCCCCGGCGTCAGCATCACCATCACCATCACCATCACCATCACCATCACCATCAGCGCGTGCCCAGCGGTCGCTCGCTGTCGTCGTTGTGGGTTTCGAATCACCCCCCGGATGATGGGGCCCGTGCTTCTCGGCAAGATGAGTAGGCGGAGGAGGAAGCTGACGGGTGGCTGGGGTATAAAGGAAGACGAGTAGGTCTCGCCTGAACAGCTTCTCTCCTTCCCCCAACACCGCGTGAGTATTGTGAGTACCACACCAAACGAGAGGGACTGGGGCAGGACGGCTGACAAGACGCTCCACGCATAGCCTCACGCCTTCATGTAAGCACCCCGTCCTTCTTCACTCCTACCACCGC